GCTCCCCTCTGCCGAGGGCCGCACCGTGGTTGCCGCCGGGCTTGGGTGAGCGTGCCTACCGCGGGAGAGTGTGCTGGCCGAGCGGTGGTGCGGGCTGCGGGAGGGACGCGCGAGCCGGAGTGATCCGAGCGATCAAGTGATCGCGAGGGAGCTGAAGGATGTGCGGGCCGAAGTGAGCGTGCGGGACCGGCGGCGAGAGGATGTGCTGGGGCTAGGGTGCCTGTGCGGGAGAGCTTGCCAGGGAGGGGGCGTCACAGCCTGGCTGCGGGCCCCTGATAGCCGGGACAACGAGGCCCGAAGGCCTTCTCGCGGCGGGCAGGGGGCGGCGGTCAAGGGCGGGAATCCTGGATCTGTGGAGGCCTATGCTACTCTAGGGAGGAAGTGAGAAAGAGGACCCCCTCGGAGCCCCAAGTGCCAAGAAGCTGGGGGAATGCGGGTAGGGGACACAGGGGGGCTTAAAGGACTTGTCTCCACTGTGGGGGAGGGGCTGGACCCCAGTCATGGGCACTGGTGGTGGTTCCTACTGGGGGCATCCCTCTTTCCATTTGCGTGAGGGTCGAGCACCAGCTTGGCAAGAGGGTGGGAACCACGAGAGCTGGGATGGGGACCATGAGGAAGTGGGCAGCCCCTGTTTGGAGAAGGGAGCTCAAGCCCTCTCCTGGGCTTTTTCTCTTGCTCTGCTGGGGTCCACCGTCTCCAGCTGCGCCCCACTGCCCCCTCCCCTTCAAGTCCTTTGCTGTCCCTACAGTCTCTTTTTGGGTGATTAATCACAAGTCTTCATACCATGTGTACCCTCACTCGCCTACTGCCCAAAGCTCACCCTCTCTTTCCAACGCCCCCCACTGGCAGTTCCTGGCCCTCTTCCCAGAGGTCCCACCCAGTTCTGATACCTTCCAGCTAGCCTTGGCCTAGCTAGGCCGGTGGCCCCTCTCCAGTCTCCTTGATCAGTGAAACATTTCCTCTTCAACCTCAGCCCCGACATTTTCCTCTGAAATTGGATTTCAGATGGGCCTGATGGAAGAGCCCCCCACCCACCACCCCGCTTCTCCCTACTGCAATTTGCACAGTGTCCCCAAAACTGCTCCCAGGTCTATATTTAGAAGCCTGTAGAGCCGTGATTTCTAGCCTTCCTCTGGCGAGAGACCCCTCAGAAGATCTAGAAAGTGTGAAGTCTTCCCAGAAGTCTGACCGGCAGCCCAGGCTCCATGGACTCCCATCTGAGGAGGATCCTGGGCAGGAGCCTTGTGGGATGTGAGCTAGAGATGACAGAGCCTACTACACACACTAGTGTCCACATCAAAGTCCCCTGGAGGACTTGGAAAATGCAGATTCCTTGGCCCAGGCCAGACCTGCTGCCATTCTGCCACTTGAGTTCTTGCTGAACTCCAAGCCAGGTTCCTGACTCAATAACTGAGCCCTTCCAAACCTGCCGGGGGTCCTTGGGTGGCCCAGGGCCCCTTGGGATTCCTACAGCATCCCACCCTACACTCGGTTTCGAATCTAGGCAGTGTAGCCCCAATGAGGCCAAACTCACAATTTATTTTGATTTTTAGTAGAATGCCATGCGTCTTCTTGGGGAAATGGGAACATAAACCTTTCCTCAATTAAGTACAACAAACACTACAAAATCTCCTTCTGGTCTACCTTCTGGCTTTTTATAGAAGGGAAAGAAGATGGAAACCTAAACAGAGAGAGAGAGACAGGTGCCCAGGCAAAGTGAGAGAGGAAACAGATGCCTTCTCACCCACGCACACAGAAAAAGGCACACACAGACACAAATATCCCAAGAGAAACAGACTTTCCTGGTAAGACACTCTCTCTTTCGGCCCGTTAGGATTCTGCTACTTCCGTGTAGTGGCCAGCTTGCACAGCAACGGCTGGGCCCAAACTGGGCCTGCCAGGTTCATAGAAAGTCAAGGTCAGGACAGGCCACTCAGGGGCCAGCTCATCGCTCACATCTTGACCCACTGGGTGCCCTGGGACCTCGGGCATAGCCTGCCCTGCCACTGAGCACTTACTCTGCAGCGGGACAGGTTCCTGGAAGAGACACATGAGTTTGCTTCTGTTCACCTGGATTATTTCAACCCAACAGGTGGGACCGTACCCTTGGAACTGCACTAATCCCTTGGAACTGTTCCGAGACGCGATGAGTTACCCCTGTGTGTCTCTTTTGGGTAAGTCTAGATGTTTGCAGAAAGTCTGTGGGTGGGAGTACAAGATGGTGAAGAGTGTTGTTCTGGTTCTAGACGCTTTTATATCCATATATGCAAGTGCTGCTTAACCGTCTCTGCCCAGAGACAGTTCTCGAAGTCCTGGAGACTCAGCTCGAGACAGAAAGAGAGAAGGTGCCCAGTAAAGAGGGTTGGGAATCCAGGTGATCAGCAGTGGGTGGGAGAAGGAGCTGAAGGCACCCATCTGAACTAGATGTCGGTGAGCATTTCTACCCTTCTGGGCATATTTGCTCTGGCCCAGAACTAAACCACACACTGCAAGCCACCTGTTGTTTTCTGGCTAGACTCAAGCTACACGGCCTGAGAACATTCTGCTACAGGTCCCTAGTTAGGGGTTCAAGGAACTCTGGGTGTTTGGGGCACAACTTGGAAACTTCTGCAAGCTCCCAGCCAAGTCTCCTTTGGGTGGCCTTGTTGCTGCTTCCCTCCGCCTCTGCCCAGGGAAGGGCCGCACCTGCCCAAGGAGATTGCTTGGCTACTTTATGATGCAATCTGTAGGCTATCCTAAGTTCAAAGGTGACCAGAAGCCATTGAATTATTTCCCACTTTTTCTGACACGCATTGGCTTTTGTCACTGTTGAATTCAACTCTCAATTTCTGTTCTTTCAGATCAAAATAAAATGGTTTATTTTCTGGGTCTCTTAGTGTTTCCAATTCCATGCAATAAATTGAAGTCCGTTGGTTGCTTCCACCTTACACTGGTGTCTACAGCACACGGCAGGAAGGTTTGTTCACTTGCACAAGCTCTCAAGTTTTAGAAAGCATACATTTCCATATTATCTAGCAGCAGTGAACACAGGCCCCATCATGCTGCGTGCAGTCGAACAGCAGATATTTGTTAAGAGAGCTGCAGCGCATCCAGCGTGGAATCCGCACTGGACCTTGCTTGAGCCTGTACTCTTTGGAAGTTGAAGCTTTGAGATCGTCTTTAGATCCCAGTCAAAGAAAGAGTTGGAGATTTGTTTTCCCATACTGTTGCTCTCTGCTTCCACTTCTCAGAGTGTGTACGAGTACACTTTGTGAGTCTGGGTTGTGCTCTTCTGGTCGGAGTGCAAGTGCTGCATGTCCAAGATCAGCATGACTCTCTGTGCCCATTGGGCACACTACAGTGAATTCCGTGTTCTCTCTGGAATTGCTTTGACCTTGACCCCTGATCCATTTCAGAAAGCAGTGGACACCTGCGTTTGTCACTTTTGTCATAATATCCAGCTTCTTTTCCAGATTAGTTCCACCATTTTAAAGTAGAACAGTTGTGCAACGATTGTCTTCGGGTTCGATAGTAATTTTATTTTTAACTGCAGTGGGGATTGATGTGTGTTATCTTTTTTCTTAATTATCTTCCTTCAGTTCTTATGAAGCTCTTTTACCTGGTACTCTCAGTTAATTAAGTGGAGTTGAGCTTCCTTTTCTGAAAGTATGGTCTGTTTTTTCCCTCCCATTCATATGGGTGCCTTCTAAATTAGCTCTGTGTGTCTGTGAGCTCTGGCACTATGGGTGAGGATCACATGGCCATTGAGCCGAAGGGCTCTCAGGCCAAATCCCTTGGGAGAGCTGGTCCGGGAAGGGGTACTCCTGTTGCTACATGGGAAAGGGACAATTAACAATTCATTTGGGGGTTGTGGCTCCAGGATTTCAACAGTTAATCATGCCAATTAAGTGAGAACACTTTGGTAAGATTCGCTCGATTAAATAGAACGCTTCAGGAGGATTTGTCAATTAAAAGTAGGTGGCTTGGAAAAATTCTGTGTGTGTGTGTGCACACACGCAGTGATGTTTTTCCTGAGCAAGAGAGAAAAGAAAGAAGGGAAGGGAAGAGAGGAAGAGAACGATGTATGTGTCTTGCACACCGAGGGTTCCCAGTGGAATGTTAATAGGGCGATTTACACCCATACATACCATGAGGCTTCCAGGGTTCCCACCACCAGCCTGTGTTCTGGTGTGGCCTGGCTCTACCAGGTAGCGTGTTATGTCTTTCTACTCTGGTGTTCAAAAAGTCAAGTCCTAGAAGCTGGACCTTAAGCAAACCACTTAATTCATGGGTCCATGGTTTTCTTCTCTGTGAAACAGAGGTGGTAACAACCAATGCTTGTGATGATTAAAATTATGTGAAAGGAATCATGCCGCTCCAAATGTGCACTCCAAGTGCTCCACAAATGGAAGTCTGCCCCATTTATACACTTGGATCCTGCTGTGCTGTGACACTTTACATGTATATGCCGACTTGGCGCCAAGAGCTGCTGGGGACTCCGGGGGACCAAGAAAGCCAAGGCCCTGTCCTGTTGGAGCTGATATTTTTCCTGGGAAAAAGGAAGCAACTTCATAGAAGAGGTTTTAGCTGGTGAAAGTGTTCTGGGTAACCTAGGAGAGGGCTAGAAGGTGAAGAGGTTTGAGGAGACATTGAGTTGAGCTCTGAATTATTAGAAGGCAGCTCCTGTGTTCAGGTGTGGGGCCGGAATTGTTGGCAGGTGCTTGGGCCTTGAAGGCCACAGCCTTGGCATATCCAGAAGTACCCGAAGGCCAGTGTGTCTGGGCAGAGTGACTGAGCTGGGCCAGGGCAGGACCTGTGATTGGTGAGCTGGGCCTGGGCCTTGAGGGGGAGGCAGAGCCTTACATCGATGGCCCAAAGACAGAGGGAATAGGGTCTGTAACGGATCCTCATTCTCAAAAAGTACAGACAGGACAAGTGCCCCCCCCTTTCTGTTCCATTTGGCAGCCAAACAACAATTTGAATTGGAGATTAATTTTCAAATAAATTATGTAAGTCATTCATCACCAGTTCATTTTATATGGGAAGGGAAACTCAAACTAGATAATGAATGTGTATCCATCGGGCCAGAGAGCCCTGCCCTGCTGACACTGGGGTGTCTGGTGTTGGGGAGTGGCTTGCCTGCTCAGAAATTGGGGAAGCACCTGTGCTCACGTGCACTGAGCTGGAGGTTTGCAGGGAGGACCCCAGGGGGTCTGTCTCAAGGCTTCCAGGTGCCCCCTTCCCAAGCGGCCCTCAAATGCCCACCAGCCCTTCTGCCTTGTGCTTGCTTTGCCCACATGAGCATCCCAGGAAACACAGGTCTTCTGAGCCCACCTCAGAGGCCACACCTCATTGTGTGCTGAGCCTCAGCCTTTGTCCTCCTGTATGCCCAGTGTCTTCCTTAGCTACACTCTGCCCAAAGCTCTGCCAAGGAAATGCAGCTTGCTGCCTGCGAATTCAACACAGAAGCAGCACGCCGTCTGCTCCAAACCCTCACTCTCCCCTCATGGCTGTGCGCACCCTGAAGGGTGGGGTGCTTATTCTAGCTACAGGTCATTCCCCATGGGTTTTTTCTCTAAAAATGCAAATATGTACTTAGCTGTCTTCTTCCCCTCCTTTACTCTCTTTGAATTTTCAAGGAAGAATTATTATGGCTGCCTATATCTTCCAGGAAGAATTCATACTTTTGTAATCTGCACATTGTTCTACACTGGTCATCTGTTGAGTTTATAATCAAACTCTCCAGTTTCCTTCTTGCCCTGAGTTCTAGGGCTCTAGTATCCCCAGAGCTCCGAATCACATTTGTCACTTCCCCTCTCCCCCTGCATACCTTTTTATGCCATCGGGATTTTTTTTAATTCTTCCTATTGGTTGTGGTACATGGTGTTCCATCCTTTTACCCTTTCCAGTTTTTATGTTTAAAGTTTCGTCTGTAGAACACACAGTCAAGTCTTGTTCTTTTAATACAGTCTAACATCTGCCTTTTGATTAGAGTATTTAGTCCATTTATATTTAAATTGATTATCCATGTGGTTAAGTTTGCCATCCCACTATTTATTTCTATTTGTCCCATCTGTTCCTTTTTCCTCTACTTTTCTTCTTTTGGATATTTTTAGTGTTGTATTTTATCCCGACATTGGCTTACTAGCATGCACCAGAGTATTAGAAGGTTTGCTAAAACACGCAGTCATATGTTTCACTTCTGCATTTTATAACCCTCACATCGCCCTGTTACTATTTTTGCTTGAGTCTATTATTTTTTATAAAAATTTTTAAATGAAGGAGGTAAAGGTGTTGGCTATTTATTTCCCTGAATATTTATTTATATTCCCGGTGTAGAACCAGTTTTCCATCTGGTTTCATCTTCCTTCTACCTGAAAAATTACCTTCAGTATTTCTTTTGTTCCTTTTCTTCACTTTGTTTGTTTGCTGGTTGGTTTTTTGTGATAGGGTCTTGCAGAGTTGCCCAGGCTGGGCTCAAACTGTGCTCCTCCTGCCTCAGCTTCCGGAGTCCTGTGATTACAGGTGAGCGCCACCACACCTGGGTCTTGCATATATCTTAAGTGACAGAACTCTTAGTGACAGATTCTCTTAGCTAGCCTCTCTCTTGTCAGAAAGATATTTGTTTGTTTTTGTTTTGAGGCCTATTTTCCTGAATGTAGATTTTCAGGTTGATGGGCCTTTTTTCTTTGCAGCATTCAGATGTGTCATTGCGCTTTGTTTCTGGCTGCAAATGTTTTCCCGTGAGAAGTCACTGACTTGTCTACTTTTTGTTCCTTTGTGTACATCATCTCTTTCCTCTGGCTACGTTTATATCTTTTCATCACTGATTTTCAGAAACTTAATTACAGTGATGTGCCTTCTCTCTGAAATTTCATTTGCTGGAATTACTAGTGCTATGTCTCCAGGTTATCTAATCTTTTTTTTTTTTTTTTCAGTGTCTGATCACACGCAGTGAAATTTTTACTGTAAACATTGTTTTCAAGTCCAGACATTCCATTTGGTTCTTTTTTATATCTCTATTTCAAATCACACTCCTATTTTTCTTTCAGTGGTTTTATATTGTTAAATTGTGTTTCCTTGTTTGTGAGCTCTGTCGTCAGTTCTGGGTATTTCTGTTATTCTTGCTGTGGGTCACACTTTCGTGCTGCTCAGCATTTCGGTAATCTGGGAGTGACTGTTGGACATTGTATCATGTTTTTGAGCATCTGGACCAACACGATCCCTTTATGGCCTGCTTTTTATGACTTTGTAGGGCAGGTCTTTGTCACTTTGGCTATAAAGACAGAACTTCTTACTGGTGAGACACAGCCCCTCTGTATTCTCTGCTGAGACTCTAGGCTGATTGGGCAGACCTGAAACATCTCCCTACCTTTGTGTAAAATTTCATTTTGGAATTACTAGTGCTATGTCTCCAGGTTATCTAATTTTTTTTTTTTTTTTCAGTGTCTGATCACACGCAGTGAAATTTTTACTGTAAACATTGTTTTCAAGTCCAGACATTCCATTTGGTTCTTTTTTATATCTCTATTTCAAATCACACTCCTATTTTTCTTTCAGTGGTTTTACATTGTTAAATTGTGTTTCCTTGTTTGTGAGCTCTGTCGTCAGTTCTGGGTATTTCTGTTATTCTTGCTGTGGGTCACACTTTCGTGCTGCTCAGCATTTCGGTAATCTGGGAGTGACTGTTGGACATTGTATCATGTTTTTGAGCATCTGGACCAACACGATCCCTTTATGGCCTGCTTTTTATGACTTTGTAGGGCAGGTCTTTGTCACTTTGGCTATAAAGACAGAACTTCTTACTGGTGAGACACAGCCCCTCTGTATTCTCTGCTGAGACTCTAGGCTGATTGGGCAGACCTGAAACATCTCCCTACCTTTGTGTATCCTGGGAACTGTCTAGCTTACAGCTTCCAGGTCCTTCTTTTCCCAGCCCTTGGGAGTTTTACGCTATGCTTCTGTGGCCTAGCCAACAGGAGAAAGTCAAGGGAAGTCTCCTGTAGAATGGCATACTCTGTGCTGGATCCCCAGCCACCCTGAATGCTGGTCAGTGTCACCTCAACTTGGTGAAGCCACTAAACTGTGTTCCATTTCACCCTCCTTATACTCTCAGTCTGGACAGTGTTTCTGGGCCAAGAGCTGAGGCCATGCCAGGGCTCACCTCAATCATTTCTCCTGGGGCTCCTGACCCCATGCTTCCTTACTGAAACAGAATGCTGTTGTTTCACGTGTATTTTCTTCAGTTTGCTACTTCGTTGAGGCAGAATGTGAAATCTGTTCCTTGTTACTCTATCATGGCCACTTGGAATTTTATGGCCATACTCCAAAGTAGCACCTTCAGTTTTACGTAAAAGTCATGCTGGAGCATCTGGATTTGGTAGTCCTTGCGCTGGTATCAAAACACTTCCTTTACACTTAATGCTGAGTCAAATGGTGTTGACATCAAAATGTGAACTGTGTGGCTGTTTCTTTGAACTCACTAGAGTGGGAGGCCCTTAATGCACAGGCATCTATAGTAGGATCTGAGAATATCTCACTCGTTTTGCAATTTGGAAGAAAGGGCAACTTTTCATTGTTCTTAAGATTTTTATTTAGCAGCTAAAGTGTCTGAAGATCTTTGCTTTGAGGATGTGTTTGCAGTTGTCTTGGGCAGCTTTTCATTTTGTTGAAAATGTAAAACAAAGGTTCTCACCTATAGCTGCCGCTCTCACCTGGTGACTCTGCTGAGTGGGGAGTGGCTTTTTAGAGTGCTGGGTTGGTCAGGACAACGCCAAGGGGCCTGCTTTTTACTGCCTCTCACTCTAGGGGCCTGTGCCACCTTTGCATTGCCTGCTCTGAAGCCTGAAAGGGTACCATGTCTCCCAGCATTGCTTCTCATATTCTTTTGGCCATTCTGTCCTGTGGTCGGCTTGTCTCTGCACGCCGTCTCCCTGCCCTTGGCTCTCGAGCACGGCTGTCTTCTGGCTCCACTTGGCCTTGGCCCCACTGGCCTGCCTGGATAAATTCTTCCTGCTGTTGAAGGTATGTTTTCTAGGCTTGCCATTCAGCCAGCACATGAGAAAAGACTCAAGAGGATGTAAAGCCAGGGAACAAGAAAATGCCAGTCCGTTCCCAGGGGACCCAGGGACTGTGCTGTTGTCACTTATGGCTTTTTTCACTTTCCTTAGCTCCACCTGCTCCCCAAGGTCTTGCCCTTCCCCAGGATGGAGCCCCGGGAAACCAGGTCCTGGCAGTCCCTCTTGAGATGCCGGAGGCCCAGGTGAGCTGTGCTTCCCTCTGCCTTGCTTGGGACTCTTGTCACTGCTCCCTGATTCTGGCCTCGGCCTCTGCCTCTTGCCCAGCATGACATGTGGCAGGGTCCAAACCCCCTGACTGCTGCCTTCCTTCCCACCCTCTGCTTCTCTCCCGGAGGCTGCCTAGGAACGGATGCCCACTGGGCTTGCAGTGCCCATCGTGATACAGGTGGGAGAGCTGAGTTGCCCTCTGGCTGTGTGATTGACTTTCCCAGGTCTCCTGGTCCTCGGTCATGTTCTTTCTCCAGGACTTCTCTGGGACTGTGCTTGGAGCTCCACATTAGCAACACACATGCTGCAGGCCCTCACCTCTCACCCTTGGCATAACTTGTGCCACCCCTGCCTCATTGTAGACTAGATGGAAAGCCAGGTTATCCCTGGGAATTCTTTCAGGAATTGGTGCCGTCTGATGATGTGGAGCGGTACCTCACAGAAAGGGAGTGGTTGAAGCTGAACCCTGAACAGAGGACACTGGCATATTACGGGAACGTGACTTCTGTGGGTAAGGATACCCCAGCCCCTGCCCAGATCACCATCTGTGCGGAGTTGAGCCAGGAGAGGAGCTCATCTTGTCCCTGGGTTATAGGAAAATGCAGAAGTGCTGCCACACTTGACCTCTCCGAGTGGCATGAGTTCCCTGACCTCTTCAGTCATAGATGGAATCCACCTCACTGGGAAGAAATTGGAACAAAGCTGCCACCATAATTGAGAATACTTTTTAACCCACAAATGATGCCAACTGCATGGCCATTTGATCAGAGTCCACTATTAAGAGATGTGGACATAGCCAAGCTCTCTTTTTCACCCGTGGGGCCCTGCATAGAGGGCAGGGTTAGGAGAGAGTTGGGACTTGGGTTTGGAAGTTACAGAAGTCCTCAGGTCTGGGAAGAGCGTGAGGTGCGGTGTGTGGACACTGCAGGGCGGAAAGCCGGGTAAGGGTCGGCTCTTCACAGTGGCCACCTGACTGTGCCACAGGATCGCCCCCAAGGGATCCCAGAGCTTGGCTTCCTCCTGCACTGGCTCCACATGAATGATTCGCCGGAGGTCACAGCCAGCCCAGTCTCTGGGAATCAGAAAGGGTCCCCTTTGAAAGCCTCTCCGTGCTCCTCTGTTCTGATGTCCTCTGTGCAGTCTCAGTGACCCATTTCTTTTCCCCCAAGCAGGAGTGCCTGTTTTGGATCCTACCTTGGTCTCCCACCTGGCGCAAGGACAAGTGTTGTTGGTGTCAGACCCAACCCTCAGCATGGATCAAGCTAAGCACCCCGGTGAGTGGAAAAGAAACCCAAAGAAACATGTGGAAGTTGGGCGGGGGAGGCTCAGCCGAACTCTCGCCCTCTCGGGGCTGAGGTCAGGACCGGGAATATCAGCCCAGCCTGTGGGACCCAGGGTTAGGACTGGGGGAGGAGTTGTGGCTGTGCTTCCTTGGGAGCCCAACAACAGGGCCCCTCCCACCCTTCCCTCTGCAGCAGCCACAGCAGGGGGAAGAGGCCTCTGGACAGGAGTGTCACCTCCTTCCTGTGCCCCCTCATGTTTGTCCTTTCAGAGAGCACCTCTGTGACCCGCCACCAGACAATGGGTGAAGAAACCCAGCCACAGGAGATGGCAACCGTGAGCTCCCCCAGGGCCAGTGACCCCAGTGCTGAGGTCAAACAGAATAGGGACTCTGAAGGCAGGGGAGGGAGCCCACCACGGGAGCTGCCCATAGAACACCACTTTGCGTGTAAAGAGTGTGGGGACACCTTTCGGCTGAAAGTGCTCCTCGTGCAGCACCAGAGGGTTCACAGTGAGGAGAAGGGGTGGGAGTGCGTCGACTGCAGGAGGGTCTTCAGGGGGGTGGCTGCGTTCAACGAGCACAGGAAGAGCCACATGGCCGCTGCCGAGCCCCGACCTGGCCCCAGCTGGGCCCGAGACGACACCACCAGTGAGCAGAGGGAGCAGCTGGAGAGGGAGGCGATGCCCTTCGAGTGTGAGGAGTGCGGGAAGAGGTTTAAGAAGAACGCCGGCCTCAGTCAGCACCTGCGGGTGCACACCCGCGAGAAGCCCTTCGACTGCGAGGTGTGCGGGCGCACCTTCTCCGCGCACACCCACCTCTTCCGGCACCAGAACCTGCACGCCGCCGAGAAGCCCTTTGGGTGCAGGGCGTGCAGCAGGGATTTCCTCGACCGCCAGGAGCTGCTCAAGCACCAGCGCGTGCACACGGGCCACCTGCCCTTCGACTGCGACGACTGCGGCAAGTCGTTCCGCGGCGTCAGCG